GAGCTGCAGCGGGAGGTGGAGGAGCTGCGCTCGGAGAACGAGTACCTCAAGGTGAGCATCGCCCGCGGACCCGCGGTGGGGAAGGGAAGGGGGCGGTAGAGGCGCGACCCCCTCCTGTCCGATAATGCAGGGACCGCGCTGTGGGTAGCAGGTGGATTAACGCTTCCTGGAGTCACCTTCTGTGGGACCCCCCGCCCCCGCCAGGCCAAATGCCTAATTTCACCCGCCGGAGAGAGACAGGGGCAGGGAGAGCCAGCTGGGCTCCTCACCTCCCCCTCCCCCCGCGAAGCGGGACCGCGGCACGGCTTAAGGGCAAATAAGAGACTTAAACGTATGATCGCGGCTCCCTGCATAGCCCGATTTGTGGGGACTAGATGAACGTCAGTCCGATGCAACATGTACCATGGTAATGTTAACGTTTGGTTGACGTGGTGGTAGCTCAGCAAACCCTGACTGTTTCTAAAGCACCGCAAACACTTTACTGGTTAGCAGGACTTTGCTTTCCAGGAACTGTTTTCCTCAGTATGACCCTTTAAGAAAAACCAAAACAACCAGTTCCCTCACTTGATGTGGAAAGGATGACAGCATTGTGCGCTTTGTTTATTGTGAACCCATTCGCCGTGAAGTACTAACAGAATTACAAGAGCAGCAATAAAAAGTGTCACTGCATCCTGGTACAGGTAGAAAAATACATCTGTATGCATCCATGCTTGGAGAAACAGAAAAGTTCAATTCAGGCATGCTCTGAGCTGGGTTGACCTGTGGGAACCTTTAGTGGGACTGTATTTATAATCTGATCTTTTGGCACAGCAAAGAAGCTACATCCATAAAGATCTATAAATAAGATAAACTGAGATAATCACGTAACCACAACCACTGTACCATTTGACTGCCTCTGGTGAGAACAATCTTTGTTCCCTGATTTTGGAAACACCCTGTTGTCAAGCAAAATAACCGTGAAAATCCACATGAGTTTTACTTGAAGGACTGGAGTTTGGTGTATAACCTTGGGAGAGAAGAGTGGTAAAGATACAAACTAGGCTTGTTAAGGGGTTTTGGCTAAGGGACAAGAAATGTTGTTCAGCGTAGCAAAAGGGTAACAGCAGGGGTGCTGCAAGGTTTTTTGCTGGGTCTGGTGCTGCTTAGTGAACTGGAAAAAGGAACGAGCAATGATACAGCAAAATCTTCAGATGACATTAAGTTTTTCTAGCTTAAGTCAAACTCAGCAAAGACCAGACAGAACTTAATCATAAACTTAACTTCTGTGGAACGAAAAAATGAAGACAGAGGATGGGAAATAAATCTTAATGTTCAAAATCTGATGCACTTGGAGGGAAGAAGGACTGAGTATGCATTTTTCTGTTTAAGTGTGTTGCATTAACTCATGAGCGTCACGAAAAAAGGAGCAATGAGAACCTGCAGGCAAAAATTATGTTAGATTTCAGTGGGAACTGAAGAGAGAATAATGAAGAAAATCTGATAATGTTTTATAGATCTGTAGCTGTTACACAGGTCAGTGAGTGTACCTGAAATACTGTGGGCACTGCTGGTCATCTAGAAAAGGATAGTAGAGAACTAGACCAATAAAAATTATTGGCTCATAGCAAAGCTTTTATAGCAATCATTGGATGAGAAACTGTGGAGTGTGGTAGGGAAATGTAATAGTCTATAAAAAGATGAGCAGCACAGAGAACCTTTATCATACGCTTCTGTTTTGCTTGACAGCCCAGAAGTAAGAGGAGATATAATGAAACTAGAATTGCACTGCCATTAGAAGTCATGGAGTCTGGGAACATCTCTTTGAATTACGGGATTTGCAGAAGTGTAATACTTAAACTTTAACACATTACAAAGTATGTGTTAAACCTTCTTGCTTTATACTCAAAGTGCTTTTTAACTACAGGAAACTGAAAAAAGAGTCTTTCTGAATTCTCTAGGACTGACCACTGTTAAGGTGTCCCACTTGGGGGACTCTGTGATCATGAGACCTGGTTGACATTGGCAAATCCTAGGTAAAAAACTTTATTCTGTGTCATTCCAAGTTTTTCACCCTGTGCAACAGTGTCTTCAGGTCTTTCACCTTGATGTCTTCACCATCTGTAGCAACTGTGTCCCAACCCTTTTTTGATTTGGGCTATGGCTTTTTCAGGCTACAGTTTTTTCTGAGACCAGTAGGATAATACAGACTCCTTTCTTCCAGTGGGCAGTACCTGGAAAGCTATGAGCTAAGACTATTGCCTCTTCTGAGGGAAATGAGTACACTGTCTACTCTCCTTGGCCCCTTGGGTGCAGGAGGTCTTAGGAGTTTTGCTTCTCTCAGAATGGTTGGAGAGGTGTAAAAATTATCAGGAGAATTCTCAAACCTCATTTTCCTTTCTTAGGAAAACCTATAAAAAACTTTTGCAAATTAAAACCACAGCACTGCCTGAGTTGTTTACTTGTGAGTTTGTTCTGTGTGTTTTTCACGTTGGAGTGAGCTGCGTTTCTCCAGAGGGGGCTAAGGGATAACCAGGATGCTGTCTATGTAAATAGACAAATGATTAGATAAATCCCATAAGAAACTTAATTTTCTGAGCATGGCCATATGCCAAATTTTGTAGCTTTCACTCCTCCTTATCCCTCCCTGCAGCTAGAGTGCAGTAGTAAGTGCACAGAATAAAGTCTGTTCAGGGAAATTTAATTTTCACATGATAAGGTCTTTCCTATATCTTTTATGTATAACACAGGTTGTAGAAAAATTTATATATATATACACACACATAGACCTAGTGCTAAAGATTACTGGAGAATAAAGTGTTCCCAGAATGAAAAAAAAAAACAAACCAAAAAAAACCAAAACAAAACGAACACAATCATTTGTTTTTATTTCTACTCGCTAAGTCCTAGAAAATCTCCCAGGATGCTTCACGGAAGCTTTTGCAGAGCAAACTCTTGTTGATGCAAACCTCTTGGACTTCATATACCATGAGCCAGATTTCAACCTGATATCAATTTTTCATCTTATGTATTTCCAGGGCTGTCATTATTCTAGATGATGCTTTGTTTCCAGCAATTGCTAACTAGCTGTAAAGCTAAACTTGTAGGTAAAGTGGCTGAGGAGAAGTGTTTACATAGAGAAGTCTCTCTTCTACTACCTCTTTGAAATTTCATCAGTGATTTCAGTTTCAAGTATTTTTTGTGTAACTTCATTTCTGGTACCTATGGGGGAAGACTATAATACTATAGCAGCATTTAAAAGGTATCACTTATCTGCTGATGTTGAAGAGAGAAATTTTGTTGTGGTGCCTCACTCTGTAGAGCCAGGAGGTCATTGATAATTGCTAGTGTGGTAGGTAAAGTTTTAGTTATTGCTAGTCAGTCCTCTTAGGAGCAAAATACTGCCCACACAAGTGATTGCTTTTCAAGATTACTTTGAAGTGTCCAGCACATGGAGAATTGTCATGCAGTATGCAAATCCTTGGAAAACTTGAAAAGAAGGTCTTCGTGGTATAGAGCCCTCTAAAGGATGAGGGATCTTGAGGAAGAGGGCCCAAATTTTAGCAATTAAACATGTTCTTGCTTTGTCTCAGCCAAACTTTAATTTAGGCTGTTTTAATTAAATAAACATGCCAGCAGAAACTGGTGTTTTAGTCACAACACATGCCCCTTTTCTCTTTACAGCAGCCTCCTACGTGAGGCATGACACTCCCTACAGCCCTTACAATGAAACTGGTGCTTGCCATGCTTTGCTTTACCTGGCCTTCTCTTTGTGCTTGTGTTGGAGTAAGTTCAATATGCCAGAAATGCTGCCACAAAATGCATGCCACAAAAATCCATTCTCAACTATCTTGGATTTTTTAGATAACAGTCTTTTTATCTTGTTTTGTCTTTCTTCTTTCTGTATTCATTTGTATCTATGACATATTCTGGATATAAGTTGAATAAGGGACCACCCCAGACCCCATTTTCCACTCTGATACACTCAACGACATTCATGTTTGTTTAAAATCACAAGGTGTGTCTTATGAGGTTACATTGTATTTCTTGACTCCCTTGAAACTGTAACTCTTTGAGTGTAGGTTTGAGCTGAACTCATAAGTAATCCCATGATTTCTTTTATTAACCTGCAGGGACTTGTGGATGTCAAAGGGTTTTGCAGAGCAAAAGTGATGCAAAGTGATGGGATCAATTTTTTTGTGTTTAGTGACGATTACCAGGGCTAGAAAAATAAAGCTTTTATCTCCCATCTCCACTTGACATGCTGCCTTTTCCACCTGGTGACTGGCAGTCTCAAAGAGAAGGTGATAATCCTGCCTGGGGCACAAAACCTGCATGGCTGGGCTCGGCCAGAGGGATGGTCAGCTGTCAGAGGGAGATGTCACTTTGGGGAAGAACAGAGAGGCCATGTGCCTTGTTAGCCCCAGCTGTGTCCCTGTCAGCCCTTACTCTGCCTGGAGGGGATTAGCTGTGTGATGCACCAGGCAATAGTTTGCCTTGGTGGCCCTCTATAGATGCTGTCAGTGTTGCACCAGCCAGATGAGTGCTCAAACGGCTTCATCAGCCCCAGCCGAGGAAGTGTGTTGAAACAATACTGTGGCTGATGCTTGAATGAAGCAGAAAAGCTGCCAGATGCTCCTCTCACTCTCAGATCCCACGGACTTAAACCAGCCCTGAAGTCAACAGGTGCTCACGGTCCTACAATTTTTTAGTTCTCATCTTGTTTTGTGCACAAGCTTCAAAAAACGTCAGATTGGTGCGTGACTTGTAAAGCAGCTTGATTTGAGAGCTATATAATAACATCAGGGGCCTAGGGACTTCAGGTTCATTAACATATTTTGCAAGAGGCAAAAATTATGGTTGTTGCTTTCTTCCCAATCAAAGCCTTTTAGAGCATATTCATTCCTACTGCAGTTCTGCTGTAAAGTGATATGGGGGATGTGTTTATTCCTTAGCAGCAGCATCTCCTACGTACAGACAGTTTGAGATATTTAAAATACAAAAACAGAGATTATGTAAAATCACAGTTCATGAATCTTGGATTTAACAAGGACTTTCTAGAAGCTCTGGATTCA